TTGCAGTATCCCCTAGAAGTCTGTTAGAACTTAGCAGAGAGCTGCTATTCAACAGAAAAATATTGTTTGCAGGGTCCCAGCCCCCAAATCATAAAGCAGAAGGATAGATCGGGAGCTGAGACAATAATAACTGACTCACTCTGTGATACATGGTTTAGAAGCCTCTGCATGCTCTGGCTCTTTTAAGCTTCTTTGTTACAGTCACATGGCCTTCTTGCAGGTCCTTAAAGACACCATACTTCCTCCTGCTACAAGGCCTCCTGCATATTCTATTCTTTGACTGGGATATTCTTCACCTTTTAAATGCTCTTCCTTACACCAAATCTTTTATATGTTTTCATAACACCATTAACCTCTTTTGTAGCACTTGTTGCAGTTATACATCTTTATTTATTGATAAGGTGTTTTGATTAATATCTGCCTTCTTGAACAGGAGGGCAGGGGCCATGACTGTTCTTATACTCTATTATTAACATTCCCAGTGTTTAGTTTAGTGGCTGTGACATAATATAAATTCAATATGTATTTGTTTAAACAATTATTTCAATACCCTGAAAATAAGGAATGAAGCCATGACATGAGAAGAGATCTGTATTTGAAAACAGGAATTTGGAGGCTTCTCATTTCATTTTGCTTTAGATTCTGGAGGTCCTTAGAAAATTCCTTGTTTCTTTTTTCTCTTTATTTATTGAGGCAGAATTCATATGACATAAAATAAAATTAACTATTAACTATGCTAAAGTGTACAATTTTTGGCATTTAAACATTCACGATATTGTGCAATCATCACCACTAATTCCAAAGCACTTTCATCACCCCAAAAGGAAATCTCATACCCATTAAGTAGTCATTTCCCCTCACCCGCTGGCAACCACTCATCTGCTTTGCATTTCTATGGGTTTACCTCTTCTGAATGTTTCAGATAAATAGAATCATACAATGTGTAACCTTTGTGTTTGGTTTGTAGCAGTACTTCATTCCTTTATATGGCTGAGTAATATTCCATTGATGTTTATACCACATTTAGTTTACTCATTCATCAGTTGATGGATATTTGGGTGGTGTCCTTTTTTGTGTGTGGCTATTTTGAATAGTGCTGTTATGAACATTCATGTACATGTATTTGTTTGAATGTTTCCAATTGTTTTATCTATACTTAGAAATGGAATTGCTGGGTCATATGGTAATTTTATATCTAACTTTTTGAGGAACCAATAAACTGTTTGCCAATGCAGTTGCACCATTTTATGTCTACTAGCAATGTCCGAGGCTTCCACTTTCTCCACATTGTTGGCAATATCTCGTTTCTTTTACAACCACTGCATGCAAGTCATGTTCATGCTGCACATATTTCAACTCTGAAGCTTCATTTATATATTGATGTAGAACCTGGTTATTTAGGGATGTTTGCACAAGTCATATCTTTTTGGGCTTCCTCCAGAAAATTATTGTTAAAGAACTTTTTTTTTTCCAGCTCCCAAAAAGACTGAGTCTATTAGCTACAAACATTTAGAGATACTATCTTTCTGGGCTATTCTTCGCTGTACAGGGTCATTCGCTCATATCATTAAATTATATGGTTTTTATCATGAAATCACATTAACCCCATCACTGTGGCTTGATGTTTCTTTTGTTTTCCATTCATCATTTTCAAGGTATATCTCCATCTTGCAATGCCATGTCAACAGGATCGTCCTCTCTGTGGCTAGATTTGCTTAAATCCCAAATCTTTTGCAATATTATGTTTGATTGCATTTCTTTTTGCTTCCATTAGCAGATGTTTTTAAACAATACTCTGCCTCCTAATTTGCAATGTTTTATCCATCTCTGTGGTTGTCAAATCAGGATATTTTTGAATAAAATATGTCGCTTTCTCTAGCCCTCTATTCCTGCTTCTGCCACTCCTTCACTATTTTTATT